CTATCCCTCTTTGTATCACAAAGAAAGAAATTGTTGGCATAAAAAAAAAAAAAATCAGAGAAAAAAAGATACTGAGATACTGGAGAAACAGAGAGCCATTAACTCTGGGAAAGGAAAAGGGAGGTATGAAAATGGAATGGGGAGGTGTAGTTTGATACATAACAAACATGGAAAACAAAGCAAAGGTACAATAAACAAAATTCATGACAGTAGTTAATCAGCCTTTAGAGAATGCACCAAGGAAGAGCATGCATGAAATCCAACAGTGCTAGTAACATTCTGTTTCTTAAATTGGTGGTAGGTTTTTCAGTGTTCATTTTATTAGTGTATATATATAATTTATCCATACTGGTTTTTATGTATCAAATATTTCATAATAAAATTTGCAAAAAAGATCTAGGAAAATATTAACAATCATTAAATGAATTCATGATATTTATATTAGTCTTTGAAATATTTCCTAATTTAACAGAAGAGAAAGAGGAGAATGTTGTCATGAAATGCAAAATGCCACAAAAAAGCGTGGCCAACCATTTCTCTACAACAAAATCAATTAAGATAGAAACCTGACTGTTTCCTGGAATTGGCAACCAGAAGGTTACTAGTAAACTAAGGGGGAAAAGTTAACCAACACAAAATGCTAAAGCCAAAATTATTCAAGAATGCATGTGTTAAAAAAAACTTAAATCTGAAGGTCATTCCTCTTTGAAAAAGGGAGTTAGAATAATGGTAAGGAAATGTAGTAGACAAAATAAGGCCCCTCATCTCCTGCAAAAAAGTTGTCCACACCCTAATGCCTGGAACCTGTGAATATGTTACCTTACATGACAAAAGGGACTTTACAGATGTGATTAAGTTAAGAACCTGTAGATGGGGAGATTATCCAAGATTATTCTGGTGGGCTCAATCTAAACATCAGTCTTCACAAATGCTGAATTTTCCTAGCTGTGATCAGAGAACCAGAGAAGATGGCAGCATGAAAAGGGCTGGGCTTGACACTGCTAGCTTTAAAATGGAGGCCAAAAGTCAGTGGAAGCAGGGCAGCCTCTAGAAGCTGGAGAAAGGAAATGGATTTTCCTTTAGAGTCAGGACACACACACAAAAAAAAGAAGCCTGCTAACTGATACCTTATGAGGTATCATAAGGCATGAGGCCCATAACCTACAGAACTGTAAGATAATAAATTTGTGTTGTAAGATAATGAATTTGTGTCGTTTTAAGCCACTGAGTTTGTAGTAATTTGTTACAGCAACCACAGAAAACTAATCCAGGCAAATAATTAAAAAACAAACCAAATCTGCTGCTGTCAAGTCAATTCCAATTCATAACGACCCTACAGGACAGAACTGCCCCATTGAGTTTGCAAGGAGCAGCTGGTGGATTTGAACTGTCGACTTTTTGATTAGCAGATGCGTTCTTAACCATTGTGCTACCAGTGCACCAGGCAAATAATATGAAATATAAATTCTTCTTTTTCCTTCCTTTCCCTACTGACAAGTCTCAACCTCCCTTTTTTATTGCTAATGCTAATATTATGAAGATAAATTTAAAAGCTAACAATTAAAAAATCAGAAAATAACAAATGTTGGCAAGGTTGCAGGGAGACTGAAACTCTTACATGCTGCTAGTGGGAACATAAAATGGTACAACCATTATGGAAAATGGTATGGCGTTTCCTCAAAAAGGTAGAAATAGAAATACCATATGATCCAGTAATCCCCCTCCTAGGTATATACTCTAAAGAAATAAAAGCCATGACACGAATAGACATATGCACATCCATGTTCATTGCAGCATTATTCACAACAGCAAAAGATGGAAACAATCCAAGTGCCCATCAACAGATGAACGGATTAACAAGCTGTGGTGCATACACACAATGGAACACTATGCAACAATAAATAATGACGAATCCACAAAACATCTCGCAACATGGATGGATTCGGAGGACATTATGCTGAGTGAAATAAGTCAATCACAAAAGCACAAATATTTTATGAGACCACTATTGCAAAGTAACAACCAAAGGTTTATACACAGGAAAAAAAAAGGAAAAAAAAAATTCTTTGACGGTTACCAGGGATGAGAGGGAAGCGAGGGGAAATTACCAAATAGCTAGAAGACACATGTAAATGTTGGTGAAGGGAAAGGCAATATATAATATGGGAGAAATCAGCACAACGTGACCAAGGCATGAGAAGACACTGAGAAGAATGCAAGAGTAAAGGGCAACTACGGAAACTACTATAGCAAAGACAACCCTGCAACAATAGTATTAACAAACAATAATTTACAAATGAATATACATGTAGATAGATATGTCAAGAGGTGTGGGAGGGTGTAAGGGCACAGTCATTGTCAGATACAGGTGATGGATATTTCTACATACATGACTGTAGGTGCTCCTCACACATTAATACAGACAATAGAGTACACAAGGGCCACAGTCAGGGAAACCTCTCAGACGTAACCAAACATCTGGTAGGATTAAGGCAAAGGACTATGCGCTTGGGGGACATCAGTAGTGTCTGGGGTTTTAAAAGCTTGCGAGCAGCCATCTAAGATACAATTACTAGTCTCTTCCCATCTGCAGCAAAAGAGAATGAAGAAAACCAAAAACTCAAGGGAGCAACTACTTAAAGGACTAATGGACCACATGAACCACAGCCTGTATGACCCCAAAACCAGAAGAACTAGATGGTGCCTGGCTACCACTACCAACTGCTCTGACTGGGATCACAACAGAGGGTCCCAGACGGAGCAGGACAAAAATGTAGAACACAAAATCAAATTCACAAAAAAAGACCAGACTAACTGGTCTGACAGAGACTGGAGGGAAACCTGAGACAATGGCCTGAAGACACTCTTCTGACCCGAAAGTGATGCCATTCCCGGAGACCATCTTCCAGGCAAACAAAAGACAAGCCCATAAAACAAACAATAATACCCAAGGGAAACCTGCTCCTTAGAACAATCAATTATACGAGATCAAAAGGGCAATATTTGTCCAAAAGCAAAGATGAGCATGCAGTAAGGGGTAGACAATCAGGATAAAAGGAAACGGGGAACACAGGGCAAAAATGGGGAGAGTGTTGACACATTGTGAGGAATGAAATCAAGGCCATGTAACACTTTATGTGCAAACTCCTGAATGGGAATCTAATTTGCTCTGGAAACTTTCACTTAATGCACAATTAAAAAAAGAGAGACAGAAGACACGAAAATACTTATTTTTCCAATTAAATCTAAGACATTAACTCTCCGGCCTCTCTCAATCTCCCACAAGCTGAATATTACCAATTCACGGGGTATCAATCCTATACGTGTAATTAAAAATAATCAGCCCCCTACTTATTTCTTTCCTCTATGTTATGTGATCAAGAAAACACAAGAATCTAACTACACTGTTAGAGTTCTCTATCAAAACAATCCCATAAAACCCAAAATTTTAAAGGAAAACTGTGTTTATGTTATTAATCCTATGACATTCACCTATAAAGAAACATGACAATTACCCTTAAATTAATACAACCCAGAACTTTGTCACTTGATAATGCTATCAAAGGGTTTATGTGGCAGTTCAATCACAATTGCTCTCCATGATGTCTGCTTTCTTTTTATCCCATGCATACTTTTAGAAACTGTCAGTCTCCAAATTCTAATATTCCAAGAATTAAAGAGCAAGTCTAAATTCACCTATGCAAACTGGTGGCACAGTGGTTAAGCATTCGGCTGCTAAACAAAAAGTCCGCCAGCCGCTCCTTGGAAACCCAGTGGGGCAGTTCTACTCTGTCCTATAGGGTCGCTATGAGTCGGAATCGACTCGACGGAAATGAGTTAAAGTGAAAAAGATGACAAGCCCTTCAGTTTTTATACTTCCAGAACAGTAGCATGTTTAGTTTATTCTCAAGAACATTTCCAATTCCTTTTTCTTCTACATATCTAACGCTCAATATCTGGGGTATTCATTATCTCAGCCTCTGCGGTTACAGGCTGCACAGGAAAGCAAGAGTTATAAATAGATCACTTTAAATATATATCCATTAATAAAATGATGGCTTATAAAATGGTTTTCCCACCCCAACCCCACCTACCCTCATATCAACACTAGTATGTATGTCTGCGCATCATGCCATTAGTCTCTTGCTGGCTGTTGATATTGTAAACATCTGACAATATAATCCAAACACCAGGCAAATTGACTGTAAATTAAATTGCATCAGCAAAATATGCAAGATTTCCTAAAGTTAATGAAAATGTGTTGAAAACTGCTTACAGATTCTTCAGCAAGTAAGAGTTAAATCAGTTGATAACTGAAAAAGAAAATCAAAGATGATACTGGATTTGAATGTCAAAAGACTAAGGAAGGTCTTTGGGTAACTGAAAAAACCCTCAAACATTTTTGCAAAAATGATCTTCATTGCAATTATGTTGCAGAAGTGAGAAATGATAGCATTTGCCTTATACGCTGATTTCAGAACCCAAACATGCAGAAGATGCAACTCCACTGTAAAATTGGGTCCCAAACTAGACCCAATTTAAAAAGTTAGCTTCCATTTATTCACTAAAGGGGTAAAATAATAAAAATATTCCATACATTAATAAACCAAAAGCTTAATAATGAAATTCACATTCTAATTCATGGCAGAGACAGCATATTCCTGATGTAGGTACCAATTAAATGCACTGCTGAGACAGCTCAAAAGAACTAGAAAAACTATTTGCAAAAATAAAGAGAAAAGACTTTCCTAAAGTTAGAACACCATCATTATCATTCTGCCTTTTTACAAAGAGACATAAAAGTCAAATTGAGGGACTACCAACCTATCGTCCTCCAGTAGGCATTCTACAATGTTTTTACCAACTTGTTGAACAACTGACTCACTGCAGTGCTAAACTTCATCCAATCAAAAGAACATGCAGACTTTCAATTGGGATTCTCTACAAAAGGCAACCTTTGTGATAAATGAATCACCAGAGAAGATTCTAATATAACTTACCATTGTGTATTGCATTCAGCAACTCTGAGAAAGCTTTTAAGTAAGGAAAAAAGGACTTGAGGTTAAGATCATTCTCAAACACACAAAAGAAATACACAGGCATAGACGAATCAATATAATAAAATCTCAAAAAGTCTATCATGTATCAGTGCTTAAATCACCTAAACTGCAAGTTTGGCTCAGTGTATACACAGTATAAATTTCTTAATACTGTATTTCATTTCCCAATACGTTACCTAAATTTAGATCAAAGTGCTAGACATACTGTCATATTGATGACAATAATCTTCTTAGTAATAAATATACACAAATTTTAATTACTTTTTAAAAAGTTTTAGTAGTCTAACTATGTAATGTTTGGCTAAAAGTGAGTCTGTATAGGATGCAGTTCTGCACAGGCAAATTCACCTTAGGTCATACTCAACAATACTTATTACAAAGAAAAATTTAATTATATCATCTAACCCTATCAAACATTCTCATTTCCTAGAATGCTGTATAACAAGGTCTCAACATATGTAGATGTCTAAGAAGGAAAGCTACTTAACATTAATACACAATTTTTTAAATTATATGAACATTAAGACTAACGGAAAACAAAATTCTGAAGAAATTACTTCATCAGGGAACAGAAGCCACAATTCCACCAATGGAAGTACCACAGGCTAACAATAATTAAAATATGCCCACAATTTGACAGTAATACAGATACTGAACACACGACAAGCAGTATCTTTGTACGAAAAAGAAATTTATTCAATTAAGAACCAACTGCATTTTGAAAAATCTAAATGTAGAGATTCAGTGGCATAATATATTCAAGAAAAATCACTAGCGTAAGAGTCAAAAAGCCTGGGTTACCAACCCAGTTCGACAACTTACTAGTTGTTGGACAAGCTCCATCATGCCGATACTGCATGGAAATTTCTGTTGGGAGGGAGGAGAAAGGAAATCAGCAAAGAAGTTGCCAGTGACTTAAGGGTAGAAAAAGAAACAGGCCAGAAAAGCAGGAAAACATTCACCTAAACAGTCCAAAAGAACGGCAAGAACAGAAATTATAAGACAGTGACTGGGACGTGAGGGGCAGGAGAACCAAAGGTAGTGGAATTCTTACAAATCCAGAGTGCGGAAATGTGTGTATGCATGCGTGTGCAAAGGGTGAGGAAAACACATAAGGTCTTACAAATGAATCCACATAACAAGTGTCTAAATGGCTCCACTAATAAGAGGGAGTATAGTTAGGCAATGTGATAAGCTAATGTGCTTTATGTAATACATAAGACACAGTTTAGCAAAAACATTTGAATGCTGTGGTCAATTAGAGATTAAAGTTTAAGTATAATTAGTTTATATATGAACAGAAATCCACTATGACTTATATAATAGTATAAAACTCACTAAACTATACTCAGCTCACTTTCTCATACCTTTCATTTTTGAGGAAGGTAATGAACAAAGAATACATTACTATGACTTTTTATCCCACCCAGATGATGGACCAAGGAGAGCATGGCCTGAGGCAATAAAATACTACTAACAACAAAAGGCTTAGAAAATCGGAGATAAATTTCTACACTGCATTCCAAGGGAGGAAATAATTGATACAACCAGAACCAAGGCTGTGATTCAAAGGACCTAGCCTGCTAATCCTGGAAACAACTGGTATTCTCTTCTGGCTAACACTGTTGGCAAAAATTTTTAAAAGGAGGGATAGCTAGGCTAGGAATGACCTGGACATTACTTAACCAAAAACATGGTCCCTAGGAACCCTATGTACAGAGTCTCCAAGGAAACCATTACTCACATCTGCCTACATATATACCTCAAAAGCCTAGTCTTATCACAGACCCACTCTGAGTAACCTGAGTTAATGAGAGACAAAGCAAGGTAGAGAAAGCCAGCTTTCACCTTCAATTGCTGCCATTCTAAAAGAACTTTATATTAGATGCTGTTAGATAGTAAACATTTAGATCAACTTAGTTAGAAAAACTGTATAGTAACAGTGGCGGTTTTGTCCTCTCCAGACGACACTAAAAAATTATAGACACGGCAGAGAATTTTCCACTTTAATGCCTCATTAACAGATCTAATACAAGTGAGATTAAAAAGTGAGGAGAAGTGCCCTACTAAAGAGACTGACATGGTATATTATAAGGAAATGGTAGCTTTTTGGAATGGTGCTGAAAAAAATATCAAAGGACACTCATAATAGCAGAGGATTTTCTCAATGTGGAAAAAAATTGGAATATGGCTATTCTGGCCTTTGAGTTGGCACTTTGAGAGAAAGGCAGCCATGATATAAGGTCGGTAAATCTTTGAACCATCGAAAACCAAAACAAAATCAGGGACAAGAAAGCAAATTTCAAGGTATATCCTTGTCTCAGCAGGGTCTTATGTCCTTCACAATTTTCATTTATGAGCCAAAATAACCTATATAAAATAATGACATCAATAATTATGATCAATAACCTACTCCTTTGTCTATAATACCTTATTAGTAACTCTACTGTTGAGAGGTTATTGGAGTAATCTTTGCATCTTTATGATTTCTGTATTTGTTTACAGAATCACTTCCTATTTCTAATTAACGTATTTTACCAGGCAAAGACTCCTCAATTTCATTTTACCAACATAAATAACTATGACATTAATAGAGATATATTTAGTAGAATTCTTTAACAACTATAAGGGTTCAAGTTCAAATTTCATAATCATTATATTTTAGTAGAGGCCAGAACAAGCTTCTATTGAAATGATCTGTTCATATTAACAACTTAATCTTAAAAGTCTTAAAGATTTCACAGAGACAAGTACATACAATCACAACCAAAGGAGTACCTTTACAGAATTTCATTTGTAGCACTTATCACTACTAAAGAATTTCATCACTGAAACACATTTTAAGTATCTTGTCTTAGAAAGGTATGGCACTATTATATTAAAGAACTGGAGACTAAGATTTTTTAAAAGAACATGTACTTTGAAAGACCATCGTACACTCAAAATCTCTAAAGCAATTTGATGAGGAAAAGTTAATACTAAACCATCAACTACCTGTTATTTAATAAATACAGACTTTTTGGGGAGAAAATAACAAGAACGTCGATTTCTGTGAAGAAAACAATGTTGTCAACTTTCACTTTAGTAAATCATAAACTCTTATAATGTGGTTGAGATAAATGGGAAAGAGGAAGAGGACAAGTAAGACACTTCTATTTTTCCAAAAGCTGTACTAATTCTCCATGTTTCAAAAGACCCAGTTTTAAGATAAACAAAATTCCAAAAGAATGTATGTAGTAAAGTATTCGATCAAAAACTTAACACAATCTATAAATCAAAAATTTACAACCCTTAGCAATCATTTAAAACACCACACTAATTTTCCATTTTGTATAAGTCACTATAAAACAGTAGGCCATTTATCATGATTTTACTTCAACTTAAAATTTTATAATACATGCCCTGGATCAGACTAGAAGCTTACAGATATTTTCTGGGTTTCTATTGATTTGATTTAGGACTCCCAGAACATATACCTTGCTACACACACTTATGATTTGAACATAATATGAGAGAATTCTGGATACTGTTAAAACTGATGCTAATAATTTCAAAAGAGAATCACATAATTAGGATCTGATTCTACTTCTGCTTTATGTCTCACTCATGGTAAAAACAGGAGAAATAATAGCAAGAACAACAGTAACAGCAGCAGCAGCTGCTCTGCCTATTTCACAAAATTGTTACAAGGATAAAATGCGATAGTAATGAAAGAGTTATTTAAAATTTGTTAAGTGCCATCAAATGTAAGATATTACCATTACTATAAGTTGACCCATTCTGCCCTATTTAATCAACATTACCTCTAATTATCAAACAAACACAAGTTTCTCGTTTCTAATAAGCTTATCCCCTCAATATAGCTTTCCTTTCCGGGAATATTGTTGACCTTCTTTTCTGTCTACTCCAAAGTACATTTCAAATCCCATCTTCTTAATGGTCCTTTCCAACTTAGTAATAATTCTCCACCCTAAACAGTCTTGTAATGTTACATGAAAAGCTTTACAAATAACCATTTCACTTGCAACCTGGCCTAAGCACTTGGAAAGCAAGTACAAAATCACACAAGATACTACTAACTACATGCTTGCTATGCAATCAGTGATTACTAATAGTATTCATTCATTTTTTAAAAAAAAGATATTTAGCATTTATTATATACAAAGCACTGAAGTGACAGTACGAATACAGTGGTGAACATGACAAACACAGCTCCTAACTTCAAGGGGTTAATATTTGGTGGATGTTATAGTTCTATCTTCATGGTCAACAGGTACTTACAAAGGTTACCTTCACCATTACTAAATTATCAACCTGTCATGAAAGTAAATGAATGTTTTTAAAAGGGCATCATGAAAAATATTTGATAATATAGTACACAGTCCACATTTTCTCCTTCCTACATATATATTGGGGTAAGAGGTGATTTCCTGTTTTTACAATTACTAAATATTTTTTTCAATTTAAAATTAGCCCGAAGGAAACATTAACTTTCTCATACTAGTAGTAGGAAACACTATTATTGAAAGTTAAATTACTGCTTCAACAGTCTCTCATGGATCCCTCTGCTTAAAGCATGACTTACATTGTACTAGTGTGGCTTCAGACCCTCATCAACATCCCTTGAACTTTATAATTAACATGGATCTGGATTCAGGAAAAATGAACAGCTTCACCACTTAGAGCTGTGTGAACTGTGTCTCAGTTTCTTGTTCTATAAAATGAGTAAATACTTAATGGTTACATTAAGTGTGTACTAAGTGTGTATTAAGCTTGTATTAACTGTGTAGCACATAATGAGAGTTCAACAGCAGTTGGCAATTCTTATTATTGAACTCTGGAATAATTGTTAAATATTCATGGCATTTAGCCAGCTTTTTGTGGGTAAGGATAGATGTTAGTATTAAGTTTATGAGTAAGAGACTGTCCTGATCTACTCATAAAAATTTTATTAATATGTATAAAATTAAAGAATATATTATCTCAAATAGTTTTGAGTAATATTATTTCATAATTATACCTTTAACTTTAACAAGGCATATTACAATCTCCAAGGTGATTTTTAAACACAAATTTAAAGAAAAAATCCTGGCAAGTCCTAAATTTGTTATTTACTTTTGTCAAATAACACTATCTATGGATATCTCTCTCAAATTACTGTATTTACCTAATGGTGAGGAAAATGCATACAAATTCTTATTTTTCTGCCATAAATATCCCACAAAGATTGCCCTCTACAAGAATTAATAGTAAGGGACACTATTTCCCGCAGCTAAAATCTCCTAAATCTTTAACAGGTAGAAAAATCTTTTCAAGGATGTAAGTCAATATGTAATTTCATTAATCTGAAGATATGTGTTTCAAAAAGCATTCAAAAGCAATTTCTGAAATTCATGAATTTTCAGACTATGCTTGTATATATATATATAACACCAGGAAGCTCTCTCCACAAAGGCAAATTTAGCCTCTTGCCTAAATATGAACTGACAATTTTTCTGAGTAAATCTGTCTAAATATACTTTTTGTGACTAGGGGCTAAGGCTAATTGCTAAGGCCTTCTGGTCTCAAAGGAAACATAGCCTATAAATTCCAGGGTGCAATATATTTAAATCTTTTCGATGAACTATTTCTCACTGCAATTTATATCTTTTCCCTCTAAAACAGTGGTTGTCAACTAGAGGTGATTTAGCTTCCTAGGGAACATTTAACAATGTTTGGAGACAGTTTTGACTGGGGGGAAGGAGAGCTGGGGATTCTGCTAAACATCCTACAATGCACAAGACAACACAGAACAACGAAGAATCATTCAGGCCAAAATGTCAATAATGCCAAGGTTGAAAAACTCTCCTCTAGATCCATCTTTAGTGCTGCTAATGAAATAATCCTTTCATAGTTTCCACTCATTCCTGCAAAAGGCTTGGCAAATAAGGCCACAACAGGCACTGAAGCTAGCTATGAAAAACAGAAAAAATCCCTGGCTGTGTGACATTCGGCAACTACTTGACCTGTCTAAGCCTCAGTTTTTTTTCAGCTGTAAAATGGGTGCATTAATAGCCCTTACTTCATATAGTTGCTGTTAGGATTAAACAAGATAAAAATATAAAGCACTTACAATAGGCTGGCACGTAACAAATGGTACTTAAATAGTTAATATTTCTCACATCTGAGCTTTACACATGCTCTTTTCTCTCAGAATAGTCTTTCTTATAGTTTTAAAATTTGAAAGGCTACATAACAGGCTTTAAAAATTAATTTGTTTAATGAAGCTAGTATCTGCACAACTTTAAAATATTCTAAAATTCTATATTTATAAAATATACATCAACAGTCTTCACTCAAATTGGATTTATTTTCTTCATACTGTTTCCTATCTATACAACCCCAACAGTTAAAGGAGCTGATAAAATTCATAAGTTTATTTATCTTAGCCAAAATATTATTTCTACAATCAGAAATCTATAATCAAAAGAGGGGTGAATTTACAATCAATACTTATTTAAAACTATGTATTTCAAATTCAAGATGCAACATAAAAGATAAATGCTGACATTCACAAATATAAAAACTGTTAAGTTTCTATTTAAAAGATACATCTTCAAGAATTAAAAAAAATGAACATATAAAAAGCATCCCAGTGGTGTGAATAACAACTTACACAATTTCACTTATACTCTAATAAAGAAAATTGTATAAACTGTTAAAAATATTTTAAAACAAAAAGTAAATCACTGTATCTCCTAAAATGTGAATGCTATATTACATAAATTTAAATAATTTTAATTAAATATTTAGAAATATTTCAGATACAATAATTCAAGTAGTATTTATGTGATGAATTGTTTAGAAAACGAAGACTGAAGTTTAGAGAAAAGGAGTTCAAAAACAAATACCAACCAAAACTATAATACAAAAACTCTCACACTTTAAATGTGAATCCTTGGTTGGTTTTTAAAATACTGTGCAGGTGAAACAAAAACAAAATAGGAATGAATTCTAGGTATTTCATAAGAAATGGATGACCAATAAACTGTTTAGCCTATATTTAGTTAAGTAACATAAGACTAGTGTCAAACATCTTTTCGAAGTATCAAATGTTCTAAGATTCTAAGACATTTTTATTTATTTTTTTATTAACAGATAATTAAATGTAACTGAGCAATTCAAAATATACAACAGTTTCAAATATACAATTCTTTACTTTTTGGGGTAGAGGAAAGGAGGTGGTGATGGTGGGAGTGAAAGAGAAAAATTATAGGCAAATCCCTACCTGAACCAACTGGAGATGAGCCAACACTAAGACTTTGTAAACTTCCATTCCTGAGCAGCGTAGGTGATTTCTGAAGACTACAGCTTGTTACACTTCCTGTAGCTGATGCTACAGATGATGTTGGTGAAGCAGAAGAAACTGAGAGGTGAGAAATATTCTCTTGATTTTTGTTGCCTTTGGGTCTACCAGGTCCATGCTTACTTTGTTTATTTCCTTTTCTTTTCTTTTCCTTCACAGTTTCTTCTTCAATGCCAGAGGTTTGAGCCCGTTTATATCCTGTGGTAGGAAGGCTGGAATTACCCAAATCTCCAGGTGAATTTTCAAAGCTTTTAGGCTGTGAAATAACAGCTGAGGTCGAAGCGAGACCAATTAAGGAACTAAAACTATTTACCCCCCCTTCCTGGCTTCCAGACTCTCCTTTATGTACATCTTTGGTTGATGATGACTGTTGGGAGTGACTGTAACTGTCATTACGCAGATCTGACTCTGTAAAGCTCAAGAAATCCTGGGGAGACTGTACTGAACTTCCAGATGATGATTTTACACTGCCTGGAGTTCCTGAAAAACTGCCTGCAGTGAAAAAAAAAAGGGGGGAGGGGGTGGGGGGAAGGAAAAGAAAAAAAATTGGATGCAAAAATTCCCATGAGCAGTAGACATACTATAATCATCAAAATAAGGTGAAAATACAAATCAACTATAAATATTAGGACACATCACTATGTAACAAAGCTACATTTGCAAAAGGTTATCACTGAAATCAAGTTTACCTATAAAATCATCTTAAGAAATGGTTATTTTAGAGTTAGTATCAAATGAAATACTTAATCCTGAATTGCAAATGATACTTTTATAATTACTACAATATAAATTGTGATTTACCTAACCTACCTTTTGCCACATTCCTCAGTTCTCTCCCAAGCCCCTTTTGTATACCTGAGGAAGGACTGAGGAACAGCAAAGTCTCCTTTGACAGTCTTGCAAGCGGACCTGACAAGACTACAATTTGACTCTTCTTTTTCAAGCACTGAAGATATGATTATTAATGTTTCCAACATACAGAAAGAACCAAGGGATGTTTCTTAGGGTAGAAGATCTAACTTCAAGACATATCAGTGAGTGTTACTGTTCAGACGAATCTATCCCACCAAAACATGGATTTGATAAAATAATGATTACATGAAACCTATCTCCATATCCACGTCCCCCAGAGTTGCATAAAGAAAACAAATCCACCACTATCATTCTGCTATTGCTTTTATGAAAAATAATCATGGGAAAGGCAGCTTTCATGAATCTCTTTTAAAACTGCTTATTCTCTTTCCACTCTATAGTTAAAAAAAAAAAAATTAATAGCCCACCATGTGTCACTGAGATTTAAAAACCTCAAGTTTCTTATTTGCCGGGTAGGGAAATAAGATGGCTGGGACAAAAAAATAGTTTGACCCACCATCCTATTTCGCCAAACCTTCATGCTTGCCAAATGAGTAACAAGTGTTTAGACTCAGTTATAACCACATCTACTATGTTTCAAACAACTAAACTGTATCATCATATTTTAACTAATATGTTTGGAAATAAAAGCTCAAGGGAAAGTGTTTTACTGAAGTGGTGGAAATTTCAAGCTAAGTGTTGAATTTTATTGCAGAACACATTCACAAGTGATCACACATAAAGTCACCTAAATATTTACAAGATACTTTTTCCTCATATACAAGAAAGTTTTCTTTTTTTTTAACTAAAGTCTAAGGGTTTTGATTTTTAAATTTTAACCTCTTCCAAAAAGGCTGATTAAAAAGAGCATTAGTAGTTTTAAAACTTAACTCTTTTAAGAGTACATTTGCTTTTAATTTAAAAAATTATTTCTACCTACTCTGGCATTTTCAGGCTATGTCTAAATAGAAAAGCATATATATTAAAAAGTCATTTATATTTTATAATTTACATTATATCAGTCATTTAAGGATAAATGCAATTTGCCACTTAATTAACAGCTATAAAGAAGTTCTTTATCATCCATTCTGATCTGTCACCATCTGTCTTTTTTATACACTTTTTTGTTTTTACAGCTGGTGTTAAAAGCATACTACAGGGTAACAAATACTTTAAAATATTTAGTAAACACAATGCTTAAAATGCATATTTTTTATCATTCATATACTACTTGCTACGAAAAAAATAAAACTAAGAAATCTCAAAATTCCCCACCTTTAAGTTTTAACATTTAAAATTTTTATAGAATATAACCTAAGATATGAAAACATAACACATTTTCTACTATGACTTAATGGAGGCTGTAAATGATTCTTCAGTGTTGCCAACTTCAAGAAAATAAAAGATTTCTTTTCTAAATGTATTAGTACTTCATAGATTAAAAACTCAAAAATGCAATTTTAATAGTGGAAAATAGGGTCTTAATCATAAAAAGAACTGACTAAATTCCTCTAATACCACATTCAAGATGTGAATGAAATTACATTAAAAATTAATTAAGGTTTTATTTATTTTCCAAAATGATGAAACAATAAGAGCAACAATAAATGTAAATTTTAGTAAAATAAAAACAGTAAATTTGGCATTTTATTTTCTAATTTTTTGTAATGGAAGGCAAAAAAAAAACCCTAGGACTTGAAAAACTTTAAGCCCAAAGTAACTGCTTGTATAAAATATGAATATATTTTTAAGTAAGAAGTTAGCAGACTAAGTAATCTCTCTAAATACTCAAATTACAACCTGCCAGATTTTTGGTATAATTTTTATTATTAACAGAAGCTTCAGCAGGCTTAAAGAAACAATTTTCTCCCCACATTTACTCCTAGCGAGTCAAAGAAAAAAAGAAAAGGCATTTATTGTATACGTTACTAATGTATTTTCCTCCAGCATTTTTTACTTTTATGTTTCTCAAAATATTTATGTTCATGTTAAAAAATGACACACAGTAAAAACCTAGAACATAGGGCTAATGTATTCTAAAGTTTAGCTGAGTTAGTCCATAAGATAGGGTTGCCATATAAAATATGGCATGCCCAGTTATTCTGAATTTTATTTTTCAGTGTAAGTATGTCCCATGAAATATTTGGGACATGCTTATATTAAAACATTACTGCTTATCTGAGATTCCAATTTAATTGGGCATCCTGTATTTTACCTGCTAAATTTGGTCAGCCTT